ATCGCGAGTGCCTGTATTAAAAGGCTGACCAATAGTGTCTACGCTGGAGGGTCGACCCGACCGTCAATTGGTACCACTCAGTGTTGATGAGCAAAATGTGACTTGGTTTACCTCGTAAAATCGTCCCGAATTTGATCGACAGTACTGAACCTCGATCAATACCTGATCTCTTCCGCTTTTCTTTTTTATCGATCTATCGAATATCCCTTCTATTTTTTTTCCAAAATCGAATAAAATCCAGCTGGTTCTAATCGTCTTTATCCACGACGATCCAGTGTCTCGCTCGTGTCTTCGTCGCTATTTCGAGATCACGATGACGACGTTTACATCAATTTGACGAGCAGTTGCGTCGTAAAAGATGCTCGTTTGCCACGTGGATTAATTATTTTGCGAGCCGTTATCTCGAAACTTTGCGGAGTATGTTTTCGTTACTAATTCTCTCCGATGAGATGGCAAAAAATGGAAAAAAGAAGTTTTTCGAGTCGATCGCAGGCCGGACAAGCGACTAATGTGAAGAGGTGAGAGGATATCGATGCGCTTCCTGGTTACGTTATTAGAGCCACGTGCCAGAGATGGTGCAACAAAGGACGTGCAACAATTGTTAGCCGTTACTAAAAGTTTCTCGCAGTTTACGCGAGAGCGTATTTGAGCAAAAATTCTGGAGGATTAGACGAAGACGATTTGTTACGAGTTTTTCCGTTTTATCGTCGTTAATGAACTTCCATACTCTGCTCTGTGACAGCGATCCTTAAACTTTCAGCTTGTTGTTCGTAACTTCGTTAAACTTCGTCCCAGAAAATCGATGAGTTAAATTAATATCGTAGAAGCAGAACCTGAAACAACAAAATTAATATACGTCCACGGAACAGGTGTACCGGAAGGATACATTTTCCGTAAATGTTAATTCTGTGTTCGAATAAACGGGGATCTCTTTTATTATAAAAAAAAATATATATATATATTACCAGTGTAGAAAACGTTCGAGAAATATATTCTTGCAAAATATACTTTAATTTATACGACAAAATTTTGCCCACACCTAGATTGATTTTCGTCGAAAATATCCACACCGAGAATGTTAGTGAGAAATGCCCATTCATCGTGCTCGTCGAATGAATCGTTTGAATACTTCCTAATTCCCCGTTCCAACATTTTCTCCTAAACATTTTCCACTGTTCTCCGCATCTTTGCACGTATATCCGTTCAGCAAAGCTGGCCTGCTCAAGGGGGTTAGACGTCTGAAGTTTCGCTGATTGAAGTTAATCCGCGAGGTCATTGTTATACTGCGCTACTCGGTTCCACACAAATTAAACCGTGTGCCTGCCTTGTATGGGGAAGCTCGACAGACCCGCAAGTATCGTCGTATCAACGATACTCGCGTGTCACGTCCGATCCACACGACCGCGGGAAAAAACTCCGTAGAAAATCTTCGACCGATCCAACGAGATCAACGACCACCGACAGCGAATTACTTCGCGACCTTGTTCCTTGCCACCGCGAGCAAACACTTCGTTCCTTCAACGAGGAAGATTATTCGTTTGCCGGCCAACTATTCACTCTGTATTAAATTACAGTCTTATGACGTAGATGAAATTATTATTTTCAATATTTTTTCTCGAACGGACTTACGCAAGCTAGAAAATAAAATTCACATCTAGTGATTATTCGATTGAATAAATTTTTATTTAAATTTTAAAAACAGATGGAATCGTCATCCTTCAAAGAAATAGTTTTCAGTTTTTTAATGATGCAAGAGACTTTTAAAGAATTTGCTTCATTAGTTAATTGCGAATCGTTTCCAAGCAATATTTACTTTTTTAAATCTATCAACCGAATGATTCTTCGAGTGTTGAATTGAGATGTTTTTTTTTTATTAGAGAATTTTAATTAGAGAATAATCGATATTTGATCGAATTTTTATATTAAACGACATTGTACCAAAATTATTTGAAAATAATGATTTTTATAATTGTACAATTAGAAAACGATTGTATAATAGGCGCGAGGAAGCGTTAACTCGTCGCGTAGATGAAGAAATAGTGGCAACACGAGTAAAGACCTCTATTCCTGCAAATTATACTAAGAAACCAAGGTCATATATATATCTTTATAATGGACGAATGCACGTCTGAACCACGTGTAAGATCTGCGCCGCCTGCTTTTGATTGAAATTATAAACCGGTTGTTACATTGATGCTACAGCATCGCGACTCAACTAACTTACTTCAGAGACAATACCAAGGGCAATTCTTTTCCGAATGTCATTGCCAAAGAAATTAAAAAAATTATAATCACGCTTGTTGAATTGCATCCAAATATACGTTGCATCTTTTTCCCACATTTTTAATCCTTAAAATGTAAAAAATTATAAAGGGAAGCCAATCTTTTTTTGTTCCTCCTATGATCTATTTTATGATCTTTATATTGTTCCACGAATCGTTCGTTGATAGAAAATTATGATCAATTGTTGCGAATGCATCATCATGTGATTCAATTCATATTTCTGTGCTCGATATCTTGTAACACTCGTTGACATTCTTGTTCCAGAACACCACTCCAAACCTGATACCGATGATTCAATCCTGGCACAGCGTGTAAAATCGTCTTGGTTCCTAATACGCCTGTAGTTTTATTGGAAATACCGTAAAATATCCTTAAAACTCTAGAGTGTAAGAGTGCCATAGCGCAGAGAGGGCATGGTTCCATTAATAGAAACGCCCAATATCCTGTGCATAAATAAGGACCACATTTTTCCATGTTTGTTGCTCTCGTCTGTTCGGATTTATGCGTGGAATCATTATTCCTTCGTCCTCGTCGAATCACAGAAGATACCAGAGATTCCTCTTTTGGAAGATTAATTTTCGACAGCGATGTTGGATAATAAAGAGGAGCTTCCTCTACATATTTCCTTTTAATCTTTATTTCTCTTGTTACATAATTTTCTATTTTCTCTGTAGAATCGATCGTTTCTAAATTATTACTACTCTGTTCAAATTTTGATTCTAATTTCCAAGCACCCCCACCTTGAAGTTTGGCAACAAGATCCACGACGAGCATAGCTGCGTGCCACATTGGATGTTGATCGATTTTCGAGGCAGCAATTGCAAGAATTCTTCCATCCTCCGGATCAACAATCACAGCGCTGCCATTGCAATTCTGATCACCGACAGCCTCTAATTTGGCTGCCTCTACTGCAACGTTCATATACCTCTCTATCAGGTTTAATTGATGTTCTGTAAAAATTGATCCATCGATCAGACATTCGATATTTGGATCTGGATGAAAGTTCAAAGGCCAAATGTTCGAGGCCCGAGTCGCTTGCGCTTTCGTTTTGGCTCTTCTTGCTGGTACTTTCAATATCTGAAAATTATCTTCCAATAAAGATAAGTCAAACCCTTTTTCTCTTAACATTATTTTTAATTTGTCTTCTGTCAAGATACATTTTTCGGACGAATTTTCCATTTCTGCTGATATTTTCGTACAATTTAACGGTGCCAATAGTAATTTGTTGGAGGAGCAACGTTTGAGATGCTGAAAACCTGGCAGAATGGAAGAAATACTCTGAATCGCAGTCGAGATATCCTTTTTCTGCTTAAGTACACCCACGTAGACATCTTCGAGGGATGGATCGTCCGTGAGGTCAGGATTTAAGATCGGTCTCGCTATCCAACTTCTAACAGTGGTTCCCATTTTGCTCTCCTTCGGGCATTTGGGCGAGGTGATCGCCATTTTTCCTGAAAAGACGGTGGTGCCTTCACTTTTCGTCGTTTCATCTTCATCGATGCTTTCAAAGTTTTATCTTCGATGTCTTTAATATATCAAACCTTCTATTTATTTTCTTACGTTATAAATTTAAATGTAGATATATATTCGCATGAAGCGAACAAAGCGGAAGAAAAATGGACACGTATCGTGAAAGAATGTTGTAGTTAGTGACGGTGCACTTGGTACGGCTCACAGGAGGAGAAGCGATTTTAAATTGCTGTCAAGTTGGGCCACGGTCGGATCGATTGTCGGAGTTAGGCGCAATTGTACGACGTTGATCCACGAACAGAAGAAATAAGGTCTTTGTTGCCACGCCGTCCCGATCCTGCGATGATCGCTTTCCAGTTAAAACGTGAAACCTGTGGATGGAACGGTAACGACAGACCGTCGTGAAATCTTACGATATTTGCCTGATTTCATAGATCAACTTTGGCGCGATCAAGTTTGGGCTCTCGAATGACCCACAAAATATTCAGAATACGAGCTCGAAATTCCATAAATTTATCTCGGGACGATAAGAAACAAGAGAGATTAGAATTATTGAAAGGGGAATTTGACGAAGCGAGATTGAGAAAATATTTATTAACGTTATACCTATTATTGTATCGTTTTATCAAACGAAGAAGATATGGTGTAAAATAGGTCTCGAGACGAGATAATGCAGCTCATTGGATCTCCCGTTGAAAATGCAATCTTTTTGACCATGTAAAGAATCGTATTGCTAAGAACTTTGAATTGATATGGTGAGCTTTTAATAAATTGGTGAACGAGTTACGTCAATATCGAAAATGTGATTCGATGATGATGCTTGAGAAGTCACATCTTAAAGCGTATTAACTGCTCAGCAGGAGGAAAATATGCCATGGTCGGATGTTCTGTGAATGGATAAATGAGTGGACAGGACAGATTAAATTATAAAACGTTCATAGCGTAATAGCGTGCCGCGAATACGAGGTTATTGTTAAAGATAGTCATTAAACGAATGATAATTTTATTATGAAAGAACGCAATGATTGAATTTTATTCAAACAGACATACTTAGACAAAAATATAATCATGCAAATATATTATTATTCGTCGTACAAAAATTTGATTTGTTTTGTTTTTTTAATAATTTTAATAAAGAATATTTTAATTGAAAATATTTTACGAGTAGAAAGCATATAAAATCATTTGTTAAAGAATTAGAAATGTTTATTTATAATTTAAAGATGATATTCTGATAAACGTTGTATTCGCTATCGATAAAAGAAAGTTAAATTTCGCGCTTCGTTACGTCAACAAAGATGGTGGTAGCACATTCGTGCAAAGCGTGTTCCTTATATAACGTAAAAGGAACAACAAGCAAACTCGAATGACGCAGCATACAAATGTAAACTCATTAAGAAAATGTATTCAATGAACAATACGGCTGGAATAATTAATACAAATTTATAAATAAATTCTAATTGATTTAAATATCGCAATTTTCTTAATCACAATGGTTCATTTTTTAATGAGTTCGATTCACGTGCCAATATGTCTTCCCTGGCCTTGAATCGAGATATGACACGCGTGTTCCGCATCTTTCGCGCTTGTCAAACAAAACAAATCAATTCGATCGAAATAGACAAAAGATATTTTCAAAAAATGACTCGATCGTGACGAACAACCTCGCATATATATTCTTTACGCAAGTGGCAAAAGAAAGATGAAAATTCTTACCTGCTGCTGTGAGAAAGCACGTTTCAACGCCTCTTTTCGGTTTGATTCTTTTCTTCGACCATAAACGAGTAGATTCTTGTCAACCACACCTTTCGATGCTTTACACTCAAACTACGATTCACAAATAGCACAAAAACACACGTGAAAATATCCGTAGAGACGGACGTTTACAGGAGAACGACTTATACCTTTCGCGATTACGAGTTATCGACGCTACTGATGCACACTCTGTCGGTCATTAGTGTAAACTCTCGACTGGAGGAAGGGAAGCACGACCACACCACGGTTCTTCGTTTTTTCCTTTTTTTTCCTTTAAATATCTTTTATTTCGGTTAATAATATATCGTACTAGTTACTTAATATTATCCTCAAGACAAAGAAATAATGGCCTTTGCTGAATATTGCAATAAATTCGATATATTCTACGTAAAATGTAAGTTGTTTCTAACGGTTTTTTGTTTATACATGTTATGCGTATTACAAATATTCGATGTTTTGGTTATGAAATAGTGTTTTCGTTGAAATAAGATGTCCTAAATGTAACTTTGATATTGAAAAGAAGCTAAAAATATCTTATTCTATTGTTTAGTTCAAATATTATGTTTGATAGTGTTTTAATATCGACGAAAGAGAACCATTCGAGCAGCTAAAATTTGGCGCGAAAACGTGCATGATGGCGTCATCAATTATTTTGCAGATTAGTTTTTTTCCTCGTGATAGATATAATTTTTACTCTTCAAATTTGTAAGTACATTTTAAATAGTTATCTATTATTTTTCTTTTCGTAAATGATCGTGTGTTTGTTGAAATAAATATTTTAATTTTACTACCAAATTTTTATATTAATTTCTACAAACAATTATTTGTAAAAAACGTAAACGTAAACGTTTTTTTACGTAAAGAAAATGATGAGATCATATAAATGTGTATATATTGCGATATATTACGATAATATTCGATCATTTTCTTTGAACACAGAAAAATAAGAAAAAATATGAAAATTAAAAAGAGAGAATATTAATAACTAATTACGTAACGATATAATTTATATCTCGAACGATATATACGATAGAAAGCAATCGTGATTGTTAGTCTATTGAAATTATTCGAGTCAAGTTTATGTAACAGATCAGTTAATTAATCAAATAATAATTAATGAGATTATTTACGTGCAATTTGCATAAGTTTCGAAATATTTTAAATACGTTATGATTGCATCATATAGATATTCCATGTGTTCCTGAAACAGATATATTTCTTATATCATTTCGAATTTTCGAAAATTTTAAAAAAAACTATTAATTTGAATTAAATTTACCAAAGATGTGATAAAATCAGGCCTTGATTTTCTTATCGCGCGAACTGCAAAGCAAACATCGCATTCTTTTTCTATAATCATTCTCTCCAAAAGAAAATTTAAGGCTAAATAAAGTCCACAGCCAGTTACACCATCGCTAATTAGAAAGAGGTATTTTCGCAATAGATATTTATTTCATAATAAATATTCAATTTATATAAAAATATTTTTAGATATTTTTGGATATAGTCTTACTGGCAGACAACGACGATAGGACTATCTTCTTTCAGAATTTTCTGTGCTGATTGCCATAATGTTACTAATGACATAGTCGCAGGTAAATCTTGATTTCTACCAGCTTTCCATTCCGTGGAACATAAAATTGTTACGTATTGTTCTGTAGCAGGTTTCTGAAATTACATATATAAAAATTGATGCATTTCATTTCCAGATAAAATCTGCGACTAACCTCTGAATTATCGACGAGTATCAGTTTCTCTAACGTGTAGTACTCAAATGTTGCGAATTCTTTCGTTCGAACATTTATATATGGTACTGGTTTAAATTCTCTTTTTGGAACAATAGGACAACACGTCTGTACAAAGGTTGATATAAATATAATTCATTAATAAAATTTTTTTAATATTAAATTAACAAAAATTTTATCATAATTGATAAGATACCGCATCTTGTAAATCTGGTAATTGTAACATAATGATAAGTTCCACTTTATATTCGGCAATCATTCTCCAAAAATCACTAAATGTTTCAGGTAATGGTAATTGTGTTGCTATATACTGATTCTGTAATTTTACACCATCTACGTAAACAGCGGATATGTAATCGCTGTCTTCATCTGACGAAGGATATCTTTTTAAATATACTCTGCCTGCATTCGCTGCAATGGAATTATTGTTATTGCACTCTGATGGTAGAGAAATATGAAGAAATATAAGGAGCAATCAAATTATTCCAAACCTAATACTAATTCTGGAAATCTGTTTTTAACAAGGTTGCGTTTTGATAGGGATGTTTGATTGATCGATAATCGAAGAATTTCATCGTGCCAGGTCATTTTTTCTAGACTTTTTTTAGAAAAATTATTTAACACATAACATATTTTGCATATTTTGCATATAATATATAGTTTTTATAAAAAAATTACCTGTCTCGTTGAATCATCAATTGTTCTTTAAGCTCTATAATATTAATTGATAGATTTTTATTATATGGTAAAGATGTTGAAAGAAAAAGTAAACATTCTAGGAGCGTTAAATGTGCAAATAGATACTGTTGTTTATTATCTATCATATTAATTCTTTGATTTCTAATTGCTTGAGTTTCGGAGAACACGTTCACTGCCTAAAGATATTTTTAAAAAGTAGGTATTGCGTTCTGCTTTCAAAAATTCGCGAAAATATTTTTTTAAATATATTTTACCCCTTCTGCCGCGGCGCGTCGAAGGCAAATGTCACATAAAATTACAATTCCAGTTCTCCCAACACCTGCACTGCAGTGGACCACGACTGGTCCACTTCCGGGTGGTGTTGCCAAGAGTTTCTTTAAATACGTTACCACAGAATGCGTGAACAACGGTGCGCCATGATCAGGCCATGCTGTGTAGTGTAAATGCTCGATCTAATTTTTCAATTAATCATCGCGTTAAAAAAATCATAGATGTGTATACGTATTTTAATCGATATCAATTTTGTTTCTCACTTTTCGAGCTTCGTCTCCATACGTCACATGTAAAGTACGAAACGTAAAATCTGCAAACACGGCATGTTTCGCATTGAAAACAATTATATCTCCGTATCTTTTCTTTTTTCCAATATCAGGCCAATATTGTTCGCATTTTGTCTATAATATCATTTAAATATCATTGTCAAATACTTATTCATTTTAATACAAATTTTACCTTTCCATCTTCAATTAATTTCGCAATCATGCAAATGATGTAACTTTCTTCTTGCCAGATCATTCTCCAAAAATCGATGATCGTATTAGCTTTTGGACCTTGCGTAGCTATGTAAAATTTCTCCTTTTTATAGCCCTTTTATAAAAATTCCATTTATCGATACGATCTTTTTTCAAGATAGAACAATATTATTTTTTTTTATCCATCTTAATGTCGATTACCTTGATATAAGTAGCGTTAATATAATCTGAATAAGGGTCATCCGGAAGTTTCTCTAGTATCACACGATTTTCATCGTCTGTAGAATTTAATTACTAATTAACATATTCTACAATTCTGTAAGGAAGTATTTACGTACAGGCTATGAGATTTCCATATCTATTCTTCGGTCTGTTTTGTTCTAACTTTCCATATTCCCATGGTTTCGTTTGTCCTCGTGGAAGGCTCTTATTTGCAATCCAAATACATACATACAGTTACAAAATTTATTACATCCATCGTAAAATATATTTAAATATGAAAGAACTCACATTATACTGTCTATCCAGCAATCCAGACTCGATTGCATGCTTTACGTATTTCTCCAAGTCTTTCACTTTTACAAGTGACATTCCTCCTTCTCGCTGATTAACGTCATTAATGCATAATGTATCTCCGTTGTAAGTGGTATTCTCACATGATAGAAACTTTTTATCGGACGAGGCAGTAGTGACATTTAAAAATTGTTTAGAACTCGACGATATCGATTCTGTTTCAAGATGAACCAAATCTTGTAGCGTAATCTTTTCCAAAGATCTTCTTTGCTTTCTACGATGAATACAATAGCTATCAAATTATTCATTTCATTCGATCGTATATAGTAGAAAGAAAAATCTGTTTGCACCTTTGATAAAAGTAAAAAACTAGAGCTCCAACGATAAGAAATATCGTGATAGGAATTATCCAAATTTCGTCGTATCGTTTCGACACTTTGCCAACGCGAATTGATGTTATCTCCATAATTATGATCTGATCGTTTATAGATTCTTCTTCGATTAATACTATCGTTATTGCATAAGACTCGGCCGGTTTTAGCGCGCAATTCATGGCATTACCATAAATCTTGTTATCGCCTATTGTGAATGTTTTATCGGCAAACATGTCAGTCTATTCGAGAAAGGGTGAAAGTTTGTTTGACAAAAAAGTATATACAGAATGCAATATCTTTGAATGTGTCGATTCTAAAGATCAAAACGAACACAAAAGTTGGCAATACAAAAATGTCAAAGCTCGAAGCTTTTTTGTTAATTTATAAGCAAGTTTATTAAGTAAGTTTTCATATTTTTTAATAAACTTTTGTGTTTCTTTTAATCTGTAGGATCTGAAGATTTGTTTCCAATAGATTAATACTATATATTTATATAGTTGATTTTAAAAAACGAAATGTTATATAAAGATTCGAATACTTACAGGAAATTTGGCTGCACACCACGCGATCTCATAATATTTGATACCCATTTTCTCGCGCAGATAGGGGCTCAATTCCGTGTAATTCTGGCAAGCCTGGCTACCTTTTATAACAACATTTGTTACACTGTTTTTCGTGTCGTTCAGAATGGGGGGAATGTGCAACAAGATCGTCGAGTCCGTATCGCGCATTTCCATTGTTAATTCTTTCTCGAATGCCATTGCCAAAAGCGTCCTCACTTGTCCAAATTTCTCCTCCCCGTATAATCCAGTATTTGTCACTGCTCGAATGGAAATTTCATAAATGGACGAGGATAATAGGTGTAATATTGTACTGTATCGCGATTGATATTCTTCAACTCGATATTCGTAAAGCGTGAGTTTCTGTGATTGTGGAATTTGCATTTTGAGACGCGACGATATCATTTCTGCCCTTATCACGAATTTCTGAAGATGTCCACCCGTTTTCCAAGGGTGAGACCATGTTAGATTTACCATCCCTTTTTCGAGAGCCTCGATGATGAAAATTTCCGGCGCCTGTGGCTTAATTTTCGCCCAAATAA